GGGTTTAGGGGTCCATGTCAGGGAAGCTGCAAGTGGACAGCAGAACCCCCAAAACACTTTCATGTTCAGGATGGGGGGGGGGGTGGATTCTCACATCTGCTCACTCCCTCTCCCCTCCCCTGGGGTGGGAACGGAGTCGCACCTGCCCAGCCTCTACCACCTTCCCTGGTGTGGGGATGGGAGAGGGGAAAGAAGACCATGAAATCAACCCATGTCGGAGCTGTGAGCTCAGGGGCTGAGCGTGAGCCGTAGGGAGGAGGGTGCATGCGAGACAGGGGTCAAGGAAGGGCCAGGGCCCGGGGCAGACTGAGGAGGGGGCCCCTTGTAAGTACAGGGCCGGGGACCAGCCAGGTCCCTGTGTGTCTTGGCCGAGTGGGACCCCTGGGCGGCCAGGTATGTAACAATCCCAGCCATTTCCTGCCCTATTAATGAGAAAGGGGCTGATACAAATACATGCTCAGCATAAATAAATACAGGCCGGGCCGACTGCATAGCAGACAGATTGCGTGGAGCTGCTGGCCGGCCCTACAGCCAGCTCCCCCCACCCTGCCCGCAGACTCCCCACTCCCCCCCTACACTTGTGTCTCTCTCGCCAGCAGCCCTGGGGCCCCTCCATGTTCACAGGGCCAGATACAGTTGAACATGGAACCCACTTGCCCCCCACCCTGACCCCTAAGACACACACTCACTTGCTTGGGAGGTCCTAACAGGGGCTTGGGTGTCCTTAGTACAAAGCTGGGCCACAGCCTTGAGCCTGTACCCTGTGCACAGGTGGGGAAATGGAGGCTGGTATAGACGCAGGGCTCCCTGCCGCTTCTCCACCTGCCCGCTGCTGGGAGGCCCTGGCAGCCACAATCTGTGGGCTTTCTCGCTTCCTGCACTCCCTAGCCCTAGGACACTAGGGTCCCAGGAAACCCACCCCCCGCCCCAGGACTTAGCTTGAAGGTCTGGAAGCACAATCAACCACATCCCAGAGCTAGGAGGCACAGGAAGCCTGATTTTGGTCAGGAGTGAGGGCCCTGTCTGCTGGGCACGAGGACCGGCTTCTTTCCTGCCCAAGGCATCCTCCTGTCTGAGGTGTCCAGGAGCCAAGGCCCCAGGTGCTGGGGTCCCCTAGGTGCTGGGGTCCCCTAGGTGCTGACTCTCATGCCGGAGTGTCACCCTGCCGGTCTATACTGCACAAACATGGAAGACAGAGGCTAAGAGAGGGCTCAGCTTAGAGTCACACAGGAAGATTGGGGCACCCCGGCCTGGGGGGGCGGGGGGTCAGGCAACAGGTAGGTTCATTTCCCTGACACCCCCTGCCAAGCTTACCCTCCCAGAGATGAAGTCCAGGGGAGCCACAGTGGTTGGGAACTGACAGGTTGACATCATTCCTACGCCCAACCTGGAATACTCCTCTCTCCCAGGCCCAGGCCAATGTCTCCTCCTCCAGGAAGCCCTCCCAGCTGCTCTAAGCCCCCAGGGACCAGCTTCCAGTCTGCCGGAAGCCCAAAGAGGCAAAACCATCTTTGTTTCACCGTGCGTCTTGGGAAAGGACCCTTATTCCTAAGCGCGGCCACCCAGGGCTCCCCTAGCAGGACCCACCTGTGAAAAGGGGCCCCAAAATTGCACTTCTGGGGTCGGAATCGTGGTGCAACTGGTTAAGCATTCTACATCGTAGTGCAGGTTCGAGTCATGGTGGCTCCACTTCTATTCCAAATCCCTTGCTAACGCACCTGGGAAAGCAGCAGGAGGTGGTGCAAGTGTGGAGACCCCTGCACCCACGGGGGAGACCCCGACGGCGCTCCAGGCTCCAGGCTTCTGTCCAACATAGCCCCCACAGCTAATCTCCGTGTCTCTCCTTCCCTCAATAACTCTGCCTTTCCCATAGATAAGACCACCCAAGAATAAATATTTCTTTTTAATTACATTCCTGTCCCCACTGGCAGCCAATGATTTGGGAGCCAGTGGGTGAGTGGGCCAGGTATGAAGGTGGGGGGTACTGTCAGGGCAGCTGGGCTAAGCAATTCCAGCAGGTCAGTTGGCTCTGCCCCTTTCCCATTCCCAGCAAAGGAGCCCAGACCTCACACCACCCCCCCCCCGCCCACAACCAGGCGGAGCACAGGATGACCCTCGAACCCTAGCCTTGCCCCAGCCTGCTGTCCTTTCCAGCCTTCGGTCCTTATATTCCTAGACTCACTGCAACTGGGTGAGGTCTCCAACCCAGACTTACAGAGATGTGATTAGAGGAGATGAAGGTGTCACCTAGCCCGTGCCCCTGGCAGCTCCTAGGAGGCCCGCCCCTATCCCATGCTCCAAGAACGGTACCAATAAACAGAGAGGGGCCAGCACCGTGACACAGTAGCTAAGCCTCCACCTGTGGTGCCAGCATCTCATATCGGAACTGATTCAAGTCCTGGCTGCTCCATTTCCCATCCAGCTCGCTGCTAATGCACCTGGGAAAACAGCAAAAGATGGCTCGAGTGCTTTCGACCCCTGCCCCCACATGGGAGACGCAGAAGAGACAACTCTCTCAGGCCTGGCACAATGGCTTAATTGACTAAATCCTCAACTTGCAAGTACCAGAATCCCATGTGGGCACCGGTTCATATCCTGGCTGCACCATCTCCCATCCAACTCCCTGCTTGTGACCTAGAAAAGCAGAAGAGGATGGCCCAGATCCTTGGGACCCTGCACCCACGTAGGAGACACAGAAGAAACTCTAGGCTCCTGGTTTTGGATCAGCTGAGTTCTGGCCATTGCAGCCATTTAGGGAATGAACCAAGAGATAGAAAAATCTTTCTCTGTCTCTCCTCTCCATAAATCTAATCTACCTTTCCAAAAAAAAAAAAAAAAGATAAATCTTAAAGAAAGGAGAAAAGAAATGTCAGGATAAGGGAGTAAAAATGTGCCACTATCACCTCTGCCCGGCGTCCAGCCACCCACCGTGACTCTCAGCCCCCTCCAACTGCCTCTTTCTCACCAGCCCAGGACCCCCAGACAGCTACAGCATGCCAGGCTGCACCCAGGATGACCTTGACAATTACCTTACATCCACCCAGGGCCCTCCACGGGCCCTCCCTGCCCTGGCAGCCACCACGGGTACGGGAACAGGGGGAGAAGCTCTCTGAAAGCCCACCCTGCGCTTCCACCTCCCTCTGGCTTGGCGCATGAAGGGTGGCTGCCGACTCTCAGCAGATCTGCTGTGCCTGGGTTAAGACCCCGCATCCCCACTTGCAGGTAAAGTGTGTGTGGAGATGTTGGCTAAGCTTCCCCGCGCCCCAGCAATGTGAATGGACAAATGGTGGGTGAGTAGGTAGATGGATGGATGGATGGATGGATGGATGAATAGATTTATGGGTGGGTGGGTGGATTTGTGGGTGATGGAGGTAGTGAGAGAGGGAGGGATGGTCTGAGTGAGTGAACGAAAGGTGGGTGGGTGGCTAAGTGTGGACTGGATAGGTTAGTTGCGGCCTCGTTCAGGAGGAGCAAGTACTTCTCAAAGGAACCGGCTAAATCTCCGAAATGTGAGGTCAGGGCACCCCCCAGAGGCCAGAGCCCCTAACTGCCTGCCTGTACCCCCAGAAGGCACTGGGTACCAGCTTGTACTGAAAAACCTAGGGCCCTGGACCCACAGCAGAGTCAGGAACACAGATGGGGAGGCTCGCATGTCCCGGCCCGGTGTGTACTCAGGAACCTCGACCACGTGCAGCTTTTTCTTTCCAGGGAAGTGTTCATCAGATCCAATGCTTGAGCGGCTGAAAGATTCAAACGAAACTGCCAAGTGTCCAAAATGATTGACATCAGACCCAGGAAAGCTGCTTGTAGGAGGCGGCTCTCCTTCCACAGACCACTCCCCTCCCCCCCATGCACCCCAGGCACACACACCTGCAGAGAGTTCCTCCAGCTAAAGAGGAGACACACAAGAGGAAGACCCGGCGTGATAGTTCAATGGCTAAATCCTCACCTTGCAAGCACCAGGATCCCATAGGGGCTCAGGTTTGTGTCCTGGCAGCCCCACTTCCCATCCAGCTCTCTGCTTGTGGCCTGGGAAAGCAGTAGAGGATGGCCCAAAGCCTGGGACCCTACGCTTATGTGGGAGACCTGGAAGAAACTCCAGACTCCTGACTTCAGATTGGCTGAGCTCTGGCCATTGTTGCCATTTGGGGTGTGAACCAACAGATAGAAGATCTTTCTGTCTTCCTTTCTCTCTATAAATATGACCTACCTTCCCAATAAAAATAAATAAATCTTAAAAAGGAGAGACAGAGCCTAGCATGAGAGCCTAGCAGCTAAAATACTTGTCTTGCATGCGCCAGAATCCCATTTGGGCACTGGTTCATGTCCCGGCTGCTCTACTTCCCATCCAGCTCTCTGCTTGTGGCCTGGGAAAGCAATTGAGGATGGCCCAAAACCTTGGGACCCTGCACCTACATGGAAGACCCAGAAGAAGCTCCTGGCTCCTGGCTTCAGATCAGCTCAACTTTGGAGGTTATGACCATTTGGGGAAGCAGCAGATGGAAGATCTTTCTGTCTCTCCTCTCTGTAAATCTGACTTTCCAACAAATATCATAAATAATTTTTTTTTTAAGAGAGCAAGGGAGGGCCTCATGCCATGGCCCGGCGGCTAAAGTCCTCACCTTGAACGCACCGGGATCCCATATGGGTGCCAGTTCTAATTCTGGCAACTCCACTTCCCATCCAGCTCCCTGCTTGTAGCCTGGGAAAGCAGTGGAGGACAGCCCAAAGCCTTGGGACCCTGCACCCACGTGGGAGACCTGGAAGAAGTTCCTGGCTCCTGGCTTCGGATCGGCGCAGCACCAGCCATTGCGGTCACTTGGGGAGTGAATCATCGGACTGAAGTTCTTCCTCTCTGTCTCTCCTCCTCTCTCTATATCTGACTTTCCAATTAAAAAAAAAAAAATCTTTTTTTTTTTTTAAAAAGAGAGAAAGAACAAGTGAGGCAGGGGCAGGGGGTTCATGGCAAGGCAGGCCAGGAAAGCCGGATGGGGACACGTTTATTCTCCAAGGGGCCCAGGCTCTGACAGAACAGGCCCTGTCTCAGGGATCAAGGTCTTATGGAGTGGGGACTCCAACAGGGTCCTAGGGGCCGCCTGCGGCTCCATCTCCTGGGCCTGGGCCAGCTGGGCAGTGTGCTCAAAGGCAGCCTGCAGCAGGTGGGAGGCGAGACAGGTGAGCCAGGTGATGAGATAAGCCAGGTGCCAGGAGGCCAGTGCGGCCGTGGTCGCTGCCCAGCAGGACAGTCGGCTCCGCAGTTCCAGCACCGTGTGGTTCTTCAACAACACCTGGGGGTGAACAAGAGCTGCCACAACTGGTACCTGCCAAGGCTGATGGCTCCCGCCGCCCCCCAACCTACACCCCAAACCTACCCACCTGGTCTGGCAGCCAGCCCCGGCTACAACGATGAACCTTCTGGAACAATCTCCAGGTCAGCAGCGCCAGCAGCAAGGTTACAAGCATTAGGCTGTGCAGACATGACAGCAACAGCTCCCCACAGCTGGCCGCCGACAGGCCCAGCCGCTGCAAAGTCAACCCCACAGTCCTGGCACAGCCCAGCATGGCTGCCCACACTAGCCTGGGACCTCGCAGCAGCAGCCACACAGGGACCCAAGTCAGGGCCACCCCGGCATGCAGAGCCTGGCCCAGGGCTCCCAGCAGGGTGTGGGCTGGCCTGCCACTGTCCCCGCGGGCCTCCTGGGCCAGCCCTGTCACCCAGTGATTGAAGAGAAGGATCTTGAGCAGCAAGAAATTGTACAGGTGCACCCGGTTCTGGATGAGCTGCAGGACAGAGGAGGAGGCTGGAGTTAGCCACCTAGGACAGGAACCCAAGGGGCACTGTTGCCCAGGGGCAGGGAAGGGGGTTGGAAAAGGACAGGGAGGCTCCTAGGCCACCTTAGTCAGCTCTCACACCCACCCATGGGTGAGCTGAGTACACTGTTAAGCAGTCCTTCTGAGCAGGGTGCTCAAGAGGTCTCATGAGTTGACTTCCCGTTTGTCGGTTGTTGGTGATTATCCACAGCTCTATAGACTAAAGGGGATCCATCCCCTTCATCCTCACCATCATCATCACCATCACCGTCATCCCCACATTACCATCATTCCCTTCATCCCTGTCTCCTTCACCATCACCACCATCACCATCATCACCATCACCACCATCATCACCACCATCACCACCATCATCACCACCATTATCATCATTCTCTTCAAGCCTGTCTCCATCACCACCATCACCATCATCACCATCATCACTATCATCATCACCGTCACCACCATCATCACCACCATCACCATCATCACCATTGTCATCATCACCACCATCATCCCCACCATTATCATCATTCTCTTCAAGCCTGTCTCCATCACCATCATCACCATCGTCATCATCATTGTGGTCATTGGAGAAGAGGAGGCTACCCCACCCTCCTGCTGCAGAATTTGAACCCAGCTGAGCTGCCTTCTCCCAAGCTCCTCGGCTCCCCTTGAGACCATGAGGGCAGAGGTATGTGACAGAAGTAGAGGCATTGCTACAACACATGACAGACCCACTGAGAGAAGCACAAGAAGTGGAGAGGCCCAAGCTGGCTTTAACTCAGAGGATGAAGTTTTTTCAGGAAGCTGTGTAGGAAGGAGACTAAGAGATCTGTGGAGAAAAGAAATCAGATCTTCCCCCTGCCCCCCACCCCCACTGCTGTGGCGTTGCAAGTAAATCTGCCTTCTGTAGCACCAGCATGTCATATGGGCACCAGTTCCGGTCCCAGCTGCTCCACTTCTGATTCAGCTCCCTGCTAACACGTCTAGGGAGAGGAATCGGAGTAGAAGAAGCCATTTCTCAGGATGCTGAGAGTGGGGAGGGAGGGGGATCCCGAACAACCCACTGGCTTTACAGGGGCAGAGGCTGAGGCTCTGGGAGACGGAGTCATTGTGCAAAGTCACGCAGCTGGTGATCAAAGCTCAGATCCAAGTGAGGCAGAGTGGTGTTTGGCCCAGGCCTATGGAGTCCAGCTCCCTGCCCACGTGCGCCTTGGCAGGCCAGAGAGGACAGCTCCAGCACTTTGGTCCGCACTGCTCGCAGGGGTGGCCGGGATGGAACGGCGGGCTCCTAGCTGTGTCCTAGCCCAATGCTGGCTGTTGCAAGCCTTGTATACAGTGAACCAAAGAATGGGTGAAATTCTCTCTGATTCTGTCTTGCAAATAAATTAAAAATAAATATATATTTTAAAAAAATAAAGCATACAGGGCCCGGCATGGTAACCTAGTGGCTAAAATCCTTGCTTTGAATGTGCTGGTATCCCACATGGGTGCCGGTTCTAATTCCAGCAGCCCCACTCCCCATCCAGCTCCCTGCTTATGGCCTAAGAAAGCAATCGAAGGTGACCCAAAGCCTTGGGACACTGCACCTGTGTGGGAGACCGGGAAGAGGCTCCTGGCTCCTGGCTTCGGATCAGCCCAGCTCCAGCCTTTGAGGAGTGACTCATCAGACAGAAGATCTTCCTCTCTGTCTCTCCTCCCTTCTGTATATCTGACTTTGTGATAAAAATAATCTTTTTTAAAAAATAAAATAAAGCAGGCCCGGCGCGGTGGCGCAAGTGGTTAAGGTCCTCGCCTTGCACGCCCAGGATCCCATATGGGCGCCGGTTCTATCCCGGCGGCCCCGCTTCCCATCCAGCTCCCTGCCTGTGGCCCGGGAAAGCAGTCGAGGACGGCCCAATGCTTTGGGAACCTGCACCCACGTGGGAGACCTGGAAGAGGCTCCTGGCTTCGGATCGGCATAGCATCGGCTGTTGCGCTCACTTAGGGAGTGAATCATTGGACGGAAGATCTTCCTCTCTGCCTCTCCTCTCTGTATATCCGCCTTTCCAATAAAAAAATGATAAAAATAAATCTAAAACAAATTTTTTTAAATAAAATAAATCACACAGGTGTGTGGCTACCTCGCTTTTCTGACCAGAGAAAGCAGGAAAGGGGGGACAGGGCTGACCCTGGGATCACCACTAACTCAGCCCATAAGTGATTGCGAGTTGGACATGTGGCCCCAGCCATTAACACTTGCATACTTTTTTTTAAGATGGGGTAGGAACGGCACATGCTAGCCCCGCTCCATCCCGCTCCCTGAGACATGACCCCTGGGTAGAGAAAGAGAAAGTCCCAGCTCTGGGCTGGTGGCAGAGGGCGTGGCTTAGTGCTTCCAGAAGCACTCAGAAGGTCACCCAGTTCCAAGGGGCAGGCACAGGAGAGACTCCAAGTAGCCGGCAAAGAATGGTGGGCATGGACCCCACCCATACCCCCAATGCCCCTGCTCACCAGTGCTGACAGCCGCAGGGCCTGCAGCAGCACCCCCAGAAGGCTGGGTCTCCCCGGGGGGACGGCCTCCATGTCTGGCCTCCCCCCCCCCTCCGGCTGGGAGAGACAAGGGAGGGTGACCTCACAGATGTCACAGGGTGGGGGGGTCAAGTTACCATGGGGACCCTGTCGCTACAAGAGATACCCGTTTGGCCAGCTCCTCTCATGGGTGCCTCGCTCTCTTTCTCTCTCTCTCTGCCCATAGAACCTACAGAAGCGGACAGCGGAAGGACAGGGGTCAGAGGTCAAGCACCCTCCTCGGAGGACAGGGGACAGGGTGTCTGGGGAGCTGTCCACCAAGGCAGGGTAGGGAAGAGGTGCCTGCTGTTCGCTCAGATGGTGGCAGTCAAAACCAGTTTTTGGAGTATGTTCCTTGGCCTGCCCCCTACCCTCCTTGGGCTTATCCCCACCACCACCCTTGGCCATCACTTAGCATCCCTGTCCCCAAGTTTCCACCGTCACTGAGACCAAATGCATGGTCTCAGGCACTGGGGTCCACATGGTCGTTAATGGCAACCCCTTTAGGATGCCAGGCCCAAGTGTCTGTCATCTGCCCTCACCTCCCCGCAGAGCCATCTGTGCAGGTGAGGACCACCCCATGAGAGAGCGCCCACGACAGGAGCCAGGGAAAGCAGTGTCTCTTGTAGCAACCAAGTTCCCTCCTAATCTCACTGGATCCCATCCCTGGACTAGCGAGCATCAGCACGCGGGGTTAAGAAAAGGGCAGTAAAAACCTCCAAATTATATCCTTAAGTTGGGAGCTATTCCACCACCCTAGGTACGAGACCTCCCTCCCAGTCCCCAGGTTCAAGGCCGTTTGGGCACTGCTGAGCCAGGCTAAGGTCAACGGGAAGACAGCGCCCAGGAAACGCAGTTGCCATCGCTCATCGCCAGGGGGAGCCAGTTCCTCATCCCCGGCCCCACGCCCCGCGGCAGGTGCAGGATGCGGATGCGGCCCACAGAGTGACAGCAGCAGACCCCAAGTCCGGAGTCTACAAAAACCCGAGGACCCCATCAGCTGAAAGGAGTTCTGGTGTTGATCAAGCTCGGATTTGAAGTGATCTCTGCCCAAGTTTTTCCTACAATTTATTTTTCTTTCCTTTCCTTTTTTTTTTTTTTTTTTTGTAAATATATATATATTTGTTTGAAAGGCAAAGAGACAGAGAGAGATCTTCCATCTGCTGATTCATCCAAATGGCCGTAATTTCATTTCCTTTTTTCCAACCAACTATTTTTTAGACTTATAACAGATTTTTTTAAAGTTATAATCATTTTTATTGGAAAGGCAAATTTAGAGAAGGAAAGACAGAGAGAAAGTACTTTTTTTTAAAGAGCTTTATTACACTTGAAAATTGCTAACAGTAGACTTGGGGGTGCTTGTTGCAAAGAAATGATAAGCATTGGAGCTCATTTGGATGTTCAAGAGCTTGGTTTGGTCATTGCACCACCTGTACAAACATTGAAGCCTTCTGAACACTATAAATACACAGGTCCGTACTTGTCACTCAGAGGTTGGGGAGGGAGCTGGCAGAGGATTAGCAGAAATGAGAGGCTGGGAGAATACAGTGGGAGGAGGGCATGGGGGGCAAGGAAGAGGGCATGGGTCATTGGGTACCAGCTTATGAGAAGTGACAGGAAGAAGAGCTGGAGTCCCAAGGCACAGTGGGTGACTAGCTGACAGGGCACTACCTTCCCAAAAGCCTAGAAGAAAAGATTTTGAATGTTGTCAACAGAGAGGAGACGAATGTGAAGCGACAGCTGTGTGCTTCCCCTGCTGCAAATGTCACACAGTGAGCGTGGTGTCCAAATGCGTTGAGCAGTCAGCATTGTGGCGGAGGGGGCGAAGTCACCACTCGCAATGCCGGCATCCCATAGGGATACCAGTTCGAGTCCTGGCTGCTCCATTTCCAATCCAGCTCCCTTCTAGTAGACCTGGGAAAGCTGCAGAGGACGGCCCATGTGCTCCTGCACCCACATAGGAGATCCTAATGGAGACTCGGGCTCCTGGCTTCAGCCTCGCTCAGTTCCTGACTGCTGTAGCCCTCTGGGGAATGAACCAATGAATAACGCATCTGTGACTCTCACCATCTGCTGTAAATAAATTTTTAAAAAATAATAATTCTGTCTTGGAACGTTCTATTAATGAAATGACGATGAACAAACATTTAGGGTGACATATTAGCAACTTTGGTGCATGTTTGGAATTGTCCAGAAAATGTTTAGCAGTGACAATCGACTTTCGGCTACCAACCGAAGGGCAGAGGGCTGGGCCAGCGGGGAAGTAGCTGGGGCCAGGCAGCACAGACAGAGCAAGCAGCAGGTCTGTCCACGGGATTTGCTGATAGAACAGGGGAAGTGGCTGGGGCTGGGCTCCTGGGTGCCAGGTGGCTCCTGGGTGCCAGGTGGCTCCAGGGGCAGGATGGCTCTGGGGTCTGGGCCGATGTATTCGTGCACGAGGAGGAGCAGATGTGGGAGTGGGGACCAGCTTCCAGAGCATTTAGGGGTGTGGCCTCTAGAAAGGTGTCAGGCGTGCGGCAGTAGCAGGGCAGCCTCGTCCAGAGTTCAGGAGAGAGTCAGGCTGGCAGTGACCAGCTGGGAAGTCACGGGAATATAAATAATACTTACACCCCCTGGGACTGAGTGAGATCAGAGCTGAGGTCACCCAGGGCGTGGGTGTAAACCGAGAACAAAGGCCTGGAACTGAGCTACAGCTCACTGGGCACAGCTGGGTGCCGCTGACCAGGAGCCTTTTCTTTCTTTCTTTCTTTTTTTTTTCTTTTCTTTGGAAAGTCAGCTTTACAGAGAAAAGGAGAGATGGGACAATCTTTCAACCACTGGTTCACTCCCCAAGTGGCCATAACGACCCAAAGCCAGGAGCCAGGGGTCCTCCTCCACCACCCACCCCCAGGTCTCCCACACAGGTGCAGGGTCCCTGACCATCTTCCCAGGCCACAAGCAGGGAGCTAGAAAGGAAGTGGAGCAGCTGGGACGCAAACCAGCATCCACATGGGATCCTGGTGCATGCAAGGCCACCAGGCTACCACACCAGACCCTAACCAGAAGACTTTTATGCCCCTGCGGGGGCGGGGGGGAGGACTGGCAAGCCCCTTCCATCCCAGGCCTTGGTATCAGTTTTCCAAAGCTACCCACTGCGCCCCATGCTCCCCTCCCACAGCCACACTGGTTCCCCATCTTCCAGGCACTTCCAGGACCTGCCTCACCTTCCCTGACTCGCTCACTCATTGTGCACTCAAGCATGCTTCCCACTTGGCTGCCTGTGGCCTTTGCCTGGCACATCTAGGGGATCCGAGAGTGCTCCCAGAACTCCCCTCTGGTCACCACTGCAGGGGTGGAGGGGAGGGGATTCTGAGGTCATGGACTTATGGAGCTCAGCTTCCCCGACCAGCAGGGCTGCCTTTAAGATTTGCTTATTTTTGAAAGAGTTACAGAAAGAAGGAGAGGCAAGACAGATCTTCCCCCTACCGGTCCATTTGCCAGGTGACTGCAGTGGCTACAGCTGGGCCAGGCTCAAAGCCCGCAGCCAGGGAGCTTCTTCCTGGTCCTCCCATGTGGGTACAGGGGTCTAAGGACTTGGATCACCTTTTGCTACTAGCAAGAAACATCCCAGATGGGATGCTGACACCACAGGTGGACATTTAACCTGATATACCACGGTGCCTTTATATGGAGCCGTCATTTCCAGACAAGGCCCACACACTGGCCTTCCCCCATCCCTGGCAAAGGAATGGTCCTGACCGCACCCCCATTCTCATGGTGGAGTGCAGGGATGCAGTGACTCAAAAGGAAAAGCCAGCCTGGGAACAGCCAACAGCATCTACCCGCCACCACTGCCACCCCAGAATGAGGCCAGCCCCGGTGCCTGTCAGAGACTGGCAAGCAACATGTGCATAGCAAATCCGTATGAGCCTAAACCTAGCCCCCTTGGCCAGCTGCCCCCTCCTCACTGACTCGCATCCTGTGCTTGAGAGGGGATGGTCATGAGACTCTATCTGGCCAATAGGATGGGGCAGAAGTCACCCAGGGGCGGGTGGACGGGACTTCCCATCCTGCTTTCCGAAAGGAGAACCTGAGAGCGAACATGCTGCACCTGCCGGCAGGTGCAACTGTGATGACAAGTCGGGCCCAGCGCAGGAGGCCTGACCAGCTCCCAGGGCTCTCTTGGTGGTGTGACGGACCCCCTGTCCACCACGTCTGGTCTCAGTGGCTTTTGTTAGACCAGAAAATCTCACCCCTGCCGCCCTGTTTAAGCCAAGGCCATTCCCCGTGGACCACAGCGGTGTCCGGGGACCGTGTCTCCTACATGCTCACCACACACATTTAGACAAATGTAGCTTGAAACAAACAAACAAACAAAAAAACTCCTAAATACAGAGCCCAGTCCCAGGAGGCTGAAGCCCAAACGTCCGCGCCCCACAACGCGGGGGACACTAAGGCGAACTCCTGGCTATATACAAAGACTTCAATTACGAGCAGAAAACGCTCACGAAAGTCTCCGTGTCGCGCTCGCTGCACTTGAAGCTCTCCGCCAGCCGGCCACCCGCGGCCGCCCCACTGACCCGCCCGCATGACCGCTGCTGTCCGTCCAGAGCTCGGTCAACGGTCAACGGGAGGAGAGCTCATTGGCTGGCGGCAGGGCGCGAGTTGCCATCGCCTCCCTCTGATTGGGAGGCGGAAAGTCAATCATCGAGTCGTGTTGGGGACGTGGCCAGGCTGGCCGCGTCCGCGAGGCCCGCCCCCAGACCCCGTGCGCGCCCGCGCGGGCCGGTCCCACGAGAGCGCTCGCTCGGTGAGTTAGGACCTGCGACCCCAGTGAGTTACGACCTGCAACCCCGGCGCCCCGGACGTCCTCCCTCCGCCGAGGTGAAGGGGGTGGGAATATCTCAGTGTCCCTTCCTGTGTCCACCCACCCCACAGCCGCTGCACCCCCAGACAAGATGGCTCAGGAAGAGGCGCTGGCCCGGGTCGGGGCATCCCACGGCATTAAGGACCTAGCAGGCAAACTCCACTTCTATGACTGCTGGGCCCCAGACTACGACCAGGTAAACCCATCCCTCAGCCAGCTTTACTTTTCTGTCTGTAAAATGGGATCAGTTAGCCTCACCTCCCCAGGGCACCAGTGAGCACAAAACTGGCCCCTGCCCCTCTGTCCGCTCAAATAGTCGCCCTGTCGGCAGCTGGGGGATGGTCCTTAGCCTGGCCCTACAACTCCCGCACGGAAGGGTTGCCTGAAGCAGGTGCCACAGGTCCCCCTAAACGGAGACAAGTCCCTGAACTTAACTTTCCTCTCCCCATAACCCCAACACACACACACACACACACACACACACACCCCCAGGGAGTGGGGCTGCCTGGATGGAATCCTGCTTACTGTGCTGGCTCCTTCAGGACGTGGCTGCCCTGCACTACCGTGCCCCCCGCCTCGCTGTGGACTGCCTCACCCAGGCCGTGCCCAGCCTGCCCCATGGCGCCCTCATCCTGGATGTGGCTTGTGGTACCGGCCTGGTGGCTGTGGAGGTAAGGCACCCCACCGCACCCCCAGATCTGCTGCTCAGCAACATACCCCAACATACCCCCACCCCCAGCTTACTCCCCACTTGCTCACTTTTCCTACACCAAAACCCCAGGGATTCGGCCTCTGCCTCAGACTAGCTGGTCCCAAATGCCTGGACCAAATTTTCCTGCCAGACCTAGTGCATGCACACCACCCGCACCCAGCATGGTACAGGGACTCCAGTGGGACCTGTAACTGAGTCCTACCCCCACTCCCCTATGTGCCAGCTGCAGGCTCGGGGATTCCTCCGGCTGCACGGGGTGGACGGGAGCCCCAGGATGCTGCAACAGGCCCAGGCCCGAGGTCTCTACCAGCAACTTCAGCTCTGCACCCTAGGCCAGGAGCCTCTGCCCAGCCCGGCAGGTACTGCCCCCTTCTGCCCCTGGCCCAGCCTGGCCGGCTGCCTCACCCATCCCGACACAGAGCCCACAGCTTCTCCCTTCAACCCACAGCCCAGGCCCAACACACACACACACACACACCCTACAACCCCCCACCCCATGCATGGAGCTGGTCCTGCAGACCCATGTGGTGGCCTTGACCACTCTGCTACCCGCCACCCGCCACCTCCCCACCCCCTGTTCCCTAGGGACCTTCGATGCTGTGCTGGTGGTGGGTGCCCTCAGCGAGGGCCAGGTGCCCTGCAGTGCCATCCCAGATCTCCTACGCATCACCAAGCCAGGTGAGGAGTTGCCCGGCCAGCTGGCCTGGGCAGACCCATGCAAAGAAGCAGGCGGGGGAGACAAGGGGTCAGTTGGCCTCTTAACCATGAATAACAGGGAGCAGATGGGCAGGTGGTACAACACCGGGGGTCCCTTCACCGTGAGATGGGGAGCTCCCAGCCCAGTTTCCTCATTGGCCGATTTGCCCCCTTCATGCATCCATGGGTCTCTGCTGGGTGAGCCTTGCTCTTACCTGGCATTGGTTTCCCCATCTGGGAAATGGGGCTTCCCCGGGCCAGGGCTAGGGAGAGCGGACAGCCACAGAGATCAATTTGCTGGTTCTGCGTGCTGGGCAGGTAGCTGTGCCCGCTGAGCTCCTGCCACCACCCAGCCCTGAACCTGTCCCCCCCGCTACCTCCCCATCCCGGGCAAGAGCATGAGAGCTGGGAGCCTGGGGCAGTAGTCATTCCAGAAGTTGCTGGCAAGGTCAAAAGGCCTCCTTCTCAGACACTGCACCCCTCACTTCCCCCTCCTCTGCTGGCTGTCCCTGCTGCTGGGCCCAGCACAGGGCAGCCAGCAGAGACCTGGGCAGGCCTGGGCAGGCTTGGGGCTAGGGAGCCAAACCACACAGGAAGGTTGTGAGAGTCAGTAAGAGAGGCAAGAGTTGAGCACAGATGCTCCAGGAAATGCCCTTGTGTGAGCCAGCAGGCACCGGGCACTACCAGACCAGAGCCCCATGGGCCAGTCTCCATGTCAGGGTCTCCTTCCCTGTCGCTGTGTACATCTGCTGTCACTCACCACCTCCTCTGGGAAGCCCTTCCAGAACCCAGCCTTTGGGTCTCCCTCTGTCTCCTTGTGTGTGCAGTCCCTGAATGGGCTGGGCATTTTGCACGCACACACAGATCTTTCCCCAGCACAACAGAACTGTCCCTAGTCTGCCAGTAGAGAAACAGAAGCTAAGAGGAGCATAGAGACCCCCAGGAATTCCTGGAGGGGGGGAGCGGGTCAAAGACAGCCACAGGACAGCTGCCTCCAGCTCACTTGCACCCTTCTCATCCCTTCTTAGGTGGGCTGGTGTGTCTGACCACCAGGACCAATCCATCCAACCTCAAGTACAAGGCAGCTCTGGAGGCCACCCTGGACCGGTTAGAGCAGGCTGGGGCATGGACGTGCCTGGTGGCCCAGCCTGTGGACCACTGGGAGCTGGCCACCTCTGAGTCGGAGCTTGTGCCTGGAGCCTCTGCTCAGGATGGCTTCATCTCTGGCATCATCTATCTGTACCGAAAGCAGCAGGAGACCACCCAGGGTTGAGAGAGAGACAGGCCTGGTCCCCAGCCCTCCCCCATCCTTGCGACTATCCCCTGACCTTATAGGTGGCCCTGGCCAGGCCCACCCCGCTCCCTCACATGTGACCCAGGGCTGCTGGGCCCACTCCACCACCCCCACACAGGAGTGCTCTGAGCTGTCCTATGAGCTCTCCAGAGGGGTGAGAGGATTTCCGGAACATTCATTCTGGGGGTTCAGGATGCTGCAGGCTGGGGAAAGAGGTGGCATTGCAATGCAGCGGGTTAAGCTACTGCTGGAGATGCACCGGCGTCCCCAAGAGGAGCCACTTGTGCTCACTGGTGGAGACCCAGAGGGAGTTCCAAGCTTCTGACTTCACCCTGGTCCAGTCCTGACCAGTGCAGCCATGTGGGGGGAAAGATGACACAGCAGGATGCAAGAGCTCTCCTGTGTGCGGAGCAGAGAGAAGTGGCTCTACTTTCAAAATAAATAAATCCATCTTTAAAAAAAATGAGGCCAGCACCATGGTATAGTAGTCTGTCCTCAGCCTACGGCGCCAGCATTCCATGCGTATACCGGTTCATGTCCTGGCTACCTCACTTTCCATCCAGCTCCCTGCTTTTGGCCTAGGAAAGCAGTGGAGGATGGCCCAAAGCCTTGGGACCCTGCACCCACACGGGAGGCCCAGAGGAATCTCCTGGCTTCTAAATTTGGATTGTCCCAGCTCCGGCTGTTACAACCATTTAGGAAGTGAATCAGCAAATGGAAGATCTTTCTCTTAGTCTTTCTCTTTATAAATCTGCCTTTCTAATAAAATATATATTTATATAAATAATATTATATATACAAACATATAATACATATTATATATATCCTTTTTGGGGATTCCTATATATCCTTTTTTGGATTTACATAAATGTATATTATATATTTATAAATAAATATATAAATAAAAATTGTATATTCATAAATGAATATGTTTATGAATATATGTTTTGGATATATATATCCAAAAAAAGGAGACATTGGACGAGCCAGAGGAGACCCCATCAGGGCAGTCCCTGACCCAAAACTAGGTGGGGCCACAGCTGTTAAATGTGGGGCCTCCCAGGTGCTGGGACCTCATGGCTCAACTGTGTGCACAAGGAAACAGGCTAGACCACCCTGGGAGGTGCTCGCTCTGGCTGCCAGGGGCCTTAGGATGGGAGCCAGCCTGCTGTGGGTTCCCGGGCCTTTCACACACCGAGGTGTGATGGGCGTGTCCCTGAGCTGGGACAGGTGAAGTGACCGCCGAGTTGGGCTGCTGCTGCTAATAACACCCCCTCCCAGAACTGGCCCTTCAGGACCAGCAGGCTCCAGAACATTCCACACCCAGGTCAGGAGGTAGCCCCGGAGCCCAGGGGACCAGCCTGGCTACCCAAAGAGAGATCAAAGGCCCCCGGGGTGGAGTATTTTCTGTCCTCCCTCCTGGGGTCCCAGCCCCACAACACACACACACACACACACACACATACCTGCTGGGTCCTGGGTTTACCCCCTAAAATGGAGATGGTCTGAACAAGATGACTGCCGAGGTTAAGGAGTTTCTTGGTTGACTCCCTGCCCCGGCCTCAGGCTCTGCCCCTCCCACCCTCACCCCCGGAGCTACAACAATCAAACAGTACAGAAATCTTTCCTATGTACAAGTCCTATTTATTGTAGAAAATAATAATAATAATTACAATGACTGAACAGCGCTCCTTAAATTACAAAACAGAATCCACTGAGATACAGAGGCAAAACCTGGACTTTGTACCCCGCAACACATATACCCCAGGAGTCCATCCATGGGGGAGAGGTGGGCTTCAGGTCTTCCCCAACCCCTCCCTGCCCCGAACCAGTCTGTCCAGTCTGCCCCTCCTCAGGAGGCATTCTTACAGCCATAACCACCACAGTTCCTTGGGCAAGGCATGCACAGCCCAGGCGCCAAACTTCTTCCGTCATACACCAGTGGCACCCAGACCTTGGGTGGAGGCCAGGAGCTAGTCACAGAGGACTTTGGCAGAGGGGGGCATGGGGCAACTCCAGCACAGGTGGGGAACAGAGCTCCAGGGCTGGGCTGTCCCGGCCAGCAGGGCCAGCTCCCCGCTCCGTCGCCTCCTGCATCCGGGAGCCATTCAAAGGAGGGGGGTTCTTTGGCATCCATCTTGGGGTAGGTATCCCAAAGTGGGCCAGGCAGGTGGGGCTGAGGCCACCGGGAAGGCCTCCTGCTAAGTCACAGTCAGAGTTCAATCGCGGGGAAATCCGACCGGGAACGACAGAGCCCCTGAGTGGCAAACGGTGGCACCTTACACATAGTTGCTGGCCGGCGCCGAGCGGGCGGCGGAATACTTGGCAGAGTAGGGTTTTTCGGCGCGGGGTGGGCAGTTACAGCAGAGCAGGGCACCACCAAGCAGGAGCAGACCCGAGGCGGCCCAGCCGATATAGAGCGAGGCTCCCATCTCTCGCTTCTGCCCCGAAGCCACCAGCGGGTTGTAGAAGTCGCGGATGACATTGTGGGCCGTCCAGGACACGGGTACCATCACCAGCAGGCCGGCCAGCAGGAACACCACGCCCGCAACGATCATGGTCTTGGCCTTGGCCGTGTCATCCTCCACGCAGTTGGTGCACTTGCCCCCGATCACAGACAACAGCACGCCCACGGCGGCCACGATGATACAGATGATCATGAGCGCGCGGGCGGCCTGCAGGTCCTGCGGCAGCGCCAGCAGCGAGTCGTACACCTTGCACTGCATCTGGCCCGTGCTCTGCACCACACAGTTCATCCACAGACCCTCCCAGGTGACCTGCGACGTGACGATGTTGCTGCCGATGAAAGCCGTCACACGCCACATAGGCATGGCACAGCTCAGCATGGCGCCCAGCCAGCCCAGCACAGCCAAGGCTATGCCCATCACCTGTAGCCCCATGGAAGCCATGGCTCCGGGTCCCCACGGGCCGGGCTCAAAGACCTGATGTGGCGGCAAGAAAGTGGACGAAACGATCCGGGAGAGAGTTGTAGGATTCCAGTCAAGGAGAGGGAGACGCAGACGCAGAACCAGCAGGAGCCGCCCCGAGTGTGAACAGACCAGCTCCTTCCAGCCGACAGCAGCCTCGCCGGTGGCAGGTGCAGTAGCTTATATGGCGCTGCAGAGAGAGGCGGGGGCAGAGGGAGGTGGGGCCTCCCCACTACCAGTTTCTCCGGATTCCTGAGCCTTAGCCAACAAAGACACTGGAAGGTCCCGGCCTCCCCCTTGTCCCCCACTGGTTCCTGAGTCACTCCCCAGTATCAGAGGAAACTGCCCTCTCTTCCCCAGTCCCCAGGTCAGCCGGGAGACAAATTCTGAGTCACAGCCAGGGCCACCTGGATGTCCCCAGGGCAGGGCGAGGCAGGCCCAGCACCCCCACCCCATCCCCTTGCTCCTAAACGTAGGCCTTGGAGGGATGTGGGGGGGAGATGGCCCCATGGGCTGAGTCTCAGGATGAAACTGGACCTGGCATTGTCACCTGGGACAGGGGGAAGCCCTGCCCTCCCCACCTCTCCTTTCTCCATGCACCTTCCGCCAGAAAGAGAGACAGTGTCCCCTCCACAGCCCTGCAGGGCCAGGGCTGAGGCCGCGTGGGCAGAAGGCCTTCCGGGAGACAGCAGCCCCACAATGGCTGTTTACTCAGTGCGGCCATCCAAAGCACTCAGATAAAACCGAGAGAGGGGGCCAAAGTCCCCGGTGGTTACAAAAGCCGGATTGAGAGCCAGGCTTTGGGTTTGGGGGGTGGGGTGGTCCCCGGGAGGCTGAGGGGGACCACCCCTCAAAACACACTTCCAAGCACAGCGGGGACGACAGAAGGAGGAAACACAGCTCTCTCCGGGCATGGCAGCAGCGGGACTGGGTGAAGGGGACGTTGTGTCGGAAAGGAAGAGCGAGGAATGTAGTTGGACTGGAGATGGGCAGGCCAGTGGCCATGGGGAGGGGCCAGCCCTGGGCTGGGCACGGAGGCAGGTAGGCACTGGTGGCTGGCAAGGGTCCCCATGGCTTCAGGAGACACTGCCAGAGTCGGCACCTGGAGGGAGGTGAGGCGGCAAGGAGAGCAAACATCCAGGCTTAGCGGGTCTGGGTCAGTCTAGAGAGGTGCTGAGGGGACGTAAAGGAAGGCACCATGCTTGGGGGACCTTCCTTAGCCCCCCATCTCGTTGTCCCCCCAGAGCATCCCCACTGGGTTATCTGGGATGCCACCGACCCATGTTACAGACTGGAAAGCTGAGGCCTCGCCTTTACAGTTAAATCATAAACACCTCCGTCTCCTTCCTTCGTTGGGCCAGGGGTTCCTGGACAGGACAAAAAGCAATGTCCTGTTCCGACTTCAGGGTCCAGGACAGGGCTTGGCACCCAGTGGGCGCTCAACGATGACACCCAGGGAAACTGGTTTCTGGTCAGCCACCGCCTTCTCTCACAGTCCAGACGAACAGGGACGTCGGCGCTGCCCGCGGGAACCGCCCTGGACGGGGCTTTCCTTACAAGGCTCTGAGGAAGCGCACAGCAGGCCCCCTGGGGGCTGAGCAGTGGCTAAGATAAACATCCTGCCCAGCCGACAATAAGCACTTTCCTGCTCGGCCCAGCCTCCCAGCAGGTGAAGCTGGGCGTGGATGCTCCGGCGGCGAGGAGGGCTGGGGCGCGAGGAGGGCCGGGCCGACAAGTCCAGTCTCCAACAGGAGAGCCTCCGGCCCCACGCGCGCTCACCTGCCGGCCCCATTGCAGACTCTGAACGGGGAAGCTGAGTTAACCAGTTAGCCTGGACAACCCCTTTACGCCCCCTTTACCCAACTTCTTGGCTGTCTTTTAGAACACAGCCAACCGGCAGGAGCGTAGCGGGGCGGGGAGGAGGGAAGCGCACCACACACAAGCCCTAGAACTTTCCATCTTGGCCGCCCCCCCTTCCCCCACAGCCTGCCAGTCAGCCACATCAGGAGCTGAGAGTGTGAGAGGGGCTGGGGGGAGGGGGCAGGTGCAAGCCCGAGCTCAGGTGGTAGGGTGATGGGGGATGCTGGGGGGAGGGGGCAGGTGCAAGCCCGAGCTCAGGTGGTAGGGTGATGGGGGATGCCTGGCCGGGGGGAGGGGTGGTGGAGGGGGAGGAATCCAGGCTTGAAGCAGGGACGGGAGGGGCACCCCGAGGGAGCAGGAGCTGGAGGGATTTATCTATGCTTGAGCGACAACAAGAGCAGGTGGCTCCGGCCCGCCCACCCACCTGAGGCTGGAAAAACACCTGCGAAGGCTGAAAAAACACCTTCTTTGCCCTATCCTAGTGGCTCCTGGAGCCTCGGGGGCCCAGCACCCCACCCTCTCAATACAGCACAGCTCACCACCACCATTTGTTTCATGGTTCAGGGAATACAGGGCTGTCATTTTTTTTTTTTTTCTTCTTTTTTCTTGTTCACAACGGATGCCTCCTGAACTGCCGGAAGAACCAGGCCCGTCAGGGCTGGGTTTTAATTAAAGCTAGCCTCCTCCCCCGACAGGGGCCAGCTTACCCGTTCTTGCCCAGGCCATAAAAACCAGCCACAGGCAACTCACCAGCCCTGGTTGTCCCCTACCCTCCACCCTACCCCACCCCTCAACTCCACCTTGTGAAGCCACAACATGAGCACCCCCTCCTCTGGCTAACACAGCTGTGCGTTAGCCAGGGAGAGCCGGAACATGCTCTAGACAGGAATGTGGGATCTAGGGACAGGAGTCCCTGCCTGAGGCTCCGCTCTGCCAGGCAGGGGCTCCCATCCTGGGAGTCCTTGGTTCCAACACACACACACACACACACACACACCTTACCCTGATGCAGCCCCTTGGAGTCCCTAGCAAGGCGTGCAAAGCCAGCCAGTGTGGCCTGCCCGGCTCCCACCCCCATGCAACCATAAAAGGATCTTAGCTCTCAGACCTTTCTGCTTCCAGAGAACAGGAAAAGCCAAAAGGCAGGAAAGACAGGTAGGTAATGCAACCCCCAAGCATTGGGCATCACAGTCCCAACTCTGCCTGGGCTGGGGTCCCAGCTCAGCTCCTGGAGCCACCTCCCTGGGGGAAGCAGCAAGTCGCGGCTCAAGTTCCCTGTGTCTAGACCTGGGAGCCCCACCTGGGAGCCCCGCCTGGGATTGCTAGCTCCTGCTTTCAGCCTTGTCTGGCCTTGGCTCCTGTGGGTATCTAAGGGAGTAAACTAGCAGATGGGTAATTTTTTTCTCTCTGCCTTTCAAATAAATAAAGGTTTTTTTTTTTTTTTTCCTTCTCTCAACTGTGGGCACTACTCTGCTGGGCTGCAATTCTTGCTGATAAGCATGAGAGCCAGGGTTAGGGACGGGCTCTCAGGGTTAGGCTGGTCCAGGCAGCAACACCAGTTGATTTTTGTGTGGGTCTTTCCTGGGGGAGGGTCAGGCTGAGTTAAGCTGCAGTACCCATGGAAGTACACAATAGCCAGATGGATGCCAGACAGACTGGCCTAGGCCACAGCACATGCCAGCATACGTAAAAACCAGGGCTGAGGGTGAGCGTGCTGGGGGTATTGGGGACACATCTCAACTATGCTGTGGTACCCATTGGTGTTCATGAAGACTGGGCAGGCTGACTGGGATAAGCCACAGCACGCACATCTCAGTTCATTGTGAGAGATGGGACTTTGGGTGAGCTGACCAGGCAGCTGCATCCATTGATATGTGAGTTGGCTGGGGCAGGTAATGAACTGAACCTGACCCTGCACTGGCTGGTGCATACAGGATTCAAGTCTAAGATCACTCTTGACAAGGTTTCTCAGGGGTCTCCCCAACTAGATCACTATAATCAAACCCCTCAAAACAGGGAAAATCACAGTATATGTGGTCCAACCTTGGAGTGCATATATTGGGACTGGTTGCTGATGCCTGTTCAGCATGCCCAGATAAACACAAAAGACGTGACAGCCAGCTCATGTAGGCCAACAGAGGACATCAGATGCATCGTTGGAGGATGGAAAACAGAACAGGTTGGACCACTCTCCTGGCCAAGCTTTGCAACATGTTCTTGAGCCTTTGGATACACTAAGGTGGACTGGGTCAGCCAATAGAACTTGGAAAGATTTTATCAACTCCGGGGCAGAGCTCTGTCAGGGCCACTCGGGTCGCAGCCTCAGAATACTCCTCCCTACATCAGGGTCTCTAAGGTGTAATCAAATAGCCATCCCCCACAACACCCAGGTGCTGATGTAGTTTGAAGGCAAGGAATGGTCCCTTCCTCTTCCCTCCCTGTGGACACAAGAGAAAAAAAAATGCAAACATTTGTCCCCCTCACCTTCCTCCCTGCCATGACGATCTCCACCCTAACCAGGCATACATCCCTCTCAACTATACAAAAAATATTACAAATTAAATTAAAATTTAAAAAATTTCTTCTCTAAGCACATGACATTTTGATCCTTATAAAATCAAGCATTATTCCCCCCCAAAAATTTTTTTTTTTAAAAAAAGGAAGCAACTTCATTCTCCTCTCCTAAAACCATTTCACATGAAACTTGAGCCCAAGCTATTTTCCTCAACTGTCCACGCGTGGAGCATGTAATTCCTGCACGCGCCACCCACCAGAGCCGGAAGTCAGGGAGTCTGTTTCCTTTGTAGCCAGAAACAACGTACAAGTTGGGAAATTTAATATAGTTTTATAAGATTTATTTTTTAAAAAACTTTCTACAAAATGGCTTTATTTTTAAAAATATGATCTTTTCAAAAAAAAACAGGCCTCTATATTTATATACAGTTACTCAGTTTAGAAACAGTCAAAAATACAATAACTTCAGATTAAGAAATTAAGGTTTGTAACATACAATACTGATGGCAAACAAGACGGTTTAAATAGTGCTTGTGGGACGAAAGGAAAGGTCTTGTCTGGCTCCTTCCCACCTGTCACTTTCCTAGTAGTGTGTGGGTAATGCGTTTGTGACTCTTTTGAGTGTCTCTGTGTCAAAAAACACACTCCTTCACGCTTATTTCTTCTTTTTCCTCCCTTGCAGCTCACTGATATGTAATTACAGGTACTGTTCGTATACACCAGGCCTTTTGAAACTTTGATTTTTAAAACTGGAA